GTGGATCCAGCTCTTCCCCTCCGCAATTTATTTTTTCCATAATTCTACCGATGTAATAAATGTATGGAAATCCATAATGTAATTTTGACCTCAGTATAGGCCTATGGAAGAGGGAACGATACCTACAAATAATATGTTTTATTATATTAATTTATGAATGTAGCCTATAACAATAATAACAATTTCCTGAAAATTTCCTTTTGACTCCATTATCCATAATTGCAAATATAAAAGTGGGTGTGGCAACTAACAATACTGAGGCTGGAGCCAGAAAGAAACACCTACGGTACTAATTGGTCAAAGTGAAACAACAAAGCTGAACAGCGAAAACGCCATCGACTCCGACTGACCGAACACAGTTCACCTCTTGGAAGTTTTTACGAAAGGTAAGTTATCCAGCGTGTACTATTTAAACCAAGTAAGTTAGTGTACTCCCAGCTCCCCAGATAAAGACATTTTGATGATGTCAGGCTATCTAACTAGTGAGGAAGCTTGCCAGTTAGCTAAGTAGCCAGTTGGCTAATAGATAGTTTAGTCTAGCTACGTTACTTGGATAGTGCCGCGTGTAACCACAGCCTGTGTTACAGGGTTCAGTAATCGTGTTCTTAGGTCCTGATGAAGAACAATATTGACAAGTGTTCTTGGTCTATTACTAGCATAATCACGTAAAAAAATATAATGCAGGATATGGCTTGATACAGTGGGGGAAAAAATGTATTTAGTCAGCCACCAATTGTGCAAGTTCTCCCACTTAAAAAGATGAGAGAGGCCTGTAATTTTTATCATAGGTACACGTCAACTATGAGAATTGAGAAATTGAGAATTTTTTCTCTCCAGAAAATCACATTGTAGGATTTTTAATGAATTTATTTGCAAATTATGGTGGAAAATAAGTATTTGGTCACCTACAAACAAGCAAGATTTCTGGCTCTCACAGACCTGTAACTTCTTCTTTAAGAGGCTCCTCTGTCCTCCACTCGTTACCTGTATTAATTGCACCTGTTTGAACTTGTTATCAGTATAAAAGACACCTGTCCACAACCTCAAACAGTCACACTCCAAACTCCACTATGGCCAAGACCAAAGAGCTGTCAAAGGACACCAGAAACAAAATTGTAGACCTGCACCAGGCTGGGAAGACTGAATCTGCAATAGGTAAGCAGCTTGGTTTGAAGAAATCAACTGTGGGAGCAATTATTAGGAAATGGAAGACATACAAGACCACTGATAATCTCCCTCGATCTGGGGCTCCACGCAAGATCTCACCCCGTGGGGTCAAAATGATCACAAGAACGGTGAGCAAAAATCCCAGAACCACACGGGGGGACCTAGTGAATGACCTGCAGAGAGCTGGGACCAAAGTAACAAAGCCTACCATCAGTAACACACTACGCCGCCAGGGACTCAAATCCTGCAGTGCCAGACGTGTCCCCCTGCTTAAGCCAGTACATGTCCAGGCCCGTCTGAAGTTTGCTAGAGTGCATTTGGATGATCCAGAAGAGGATTGGGAGAATGTCATATGGTCAGATGAAACCAAAATATAACTTTTTGGTAAAAACTAAACTCGTCGTGTTTGGAGGACAAAGAATGCTGAGTTGCATCCAAAGAACACCATACCTACTGTGAAGCATGGGGGTGGAAACATCATGCTTTGGGGCTGTTTTTCTGCAAAGGGACCAGGACGACTGATCCGTGTAAAGGAAAGAATGAATGGGGCCATGTATCGTGAGATTTTGAGTGAAAACCTCCTTCCATCAGCAAGGGCATTGAAGATGAAACGTGGCTGGGTCTTTCAGCATGACAATGATCCCAAACACACCGCCCGGGCAACGAAGGAGTGGCTTCGTAAGAAGCATTTCAAGGTCCTGGAGTGGCCTAGCCAGTCTCCAGATCTCAACCCCATAGAAAATCTTTGGAGGGAGTTGAAAGTCCGTGTTGCCCAGCGACAGCCCCAAACCATCACTGCTCTAGAGGAGATCTGCATGGAGGAATGGGCCAAAATACCAGCAACAGTGTGTGAAAACCTTGTGAAGACTTACAGAAAACGTTTGACCTGTGTCATTGCCAACAAAGGGTATATAACAAAGTATTGAGAAACTTTTGTTATTGACCAAATACTTATTTTCCACCATAATCTGCAAATAAATTCATTAAAAATCCTACAATGCGATTTTCTGGATTTTTTTTTCTCATTTTGTCTGTCATAGTTGACGTGTACCTATGATGAAAATTACAGGCCTCTCTCATGTTTTTAAGTGGGAGAACTTGCACAATTGGTGGATGACTAAATACTTTTTTCCCCCACTGTACATACATTTTTACTAAAGGGCTGACTAAATTTAAACAATCCAGATAATGAAAAGTGCAATTTATCTGTTCTATAACACCAACATTATTCAAATACCTTGCAGTGTCACGATAGCCTGAGAAGCTGTAGTCACCTCTTTCCTCATTTAAGTTCTGATTCAAGATGGATATTATGGATAAAGTCTTGGGTAGTAGAGATTAATGTTCTTTCCGTTTCTTTACTTAGTGTTCTGAAGATTGAAAATGTCTTCAAAAAAGGTAAACCTATGTGTTGTCTAACTGGTTATTCATTTTAAATTGACAAGTCAGGCAGTCCAATTTCATTTTGTACTGTATGTGTAGAGCCATTGTCATCATTGTTTAATCATTTTCAGACTGTTAAATCCGCTGGTGTAACACGGATGTCGAGTACTTCAAGAAAGAGAGAATACAATAGAATCTGGACTAAATTGTCAAGGGAGAAAACCAACCTTAAGAAAAAAAAGGGTAGAGAAGGAAGACAATGAAAGTGGATCTAGTCTCATCAGCCAGTCTGACACCAAGAGTGAAGATACCAGTTCTACTGAATCTGAGAGCAAAATTGAGTCAGATAGTGAAGTTGAGGCAGTGGAAGGTACTCCTCCAAGACTGCCAACACACACTGAGGAAGAGTCAGATGGTGAACATGAGGCAATAGGTGGTACTAAGCCAAGACTGCCATCACACAGTGACATAGATTCAGAGACTGAAGCCAATGCAGGTTGTGCAATTCAGGAGACAACTGACTCTTACAATGATGATGTTGAAAAAGATTCTACCTTCAGAGAGGACCTGGCAACCTGGATAAGTGATTTCCAAGTGAAACACAATGCTGTTGATGCACTTCTGAAGATGCTGCAGTCTAATGGTCACCCAGATTTGCCTTCCACTGCTAGAACTCTCCTAGAAAAGACCAATGTTTTTGTTGAAGTCAAGTCTAATGTGGAGTTTTTCAGATTTAAAGTGAAGGTGGAGTTAGTGAAACATCTAAGCGTCTATCCTCAATCTGTTGTTGGAGATTTGAATGTTTTAGAAATATCCCTTAATCTGGATGGTCTCCCTTTGTTCAAAAGTACCAATAAGTCTTTATGGCCACGCTTGTGCTCCATCAAATTATCACCTACCCACAGTGTTTCCTCTGTCACTTGCAATGGCATCATCGAAACCAAGCTCCCTGGAATTCCTCAATGACACTTTGCTGGAGCTTAAAGAGTTGATGCAGATCGGCTTGAAGTGGGGAGACACAACACTGCAAGTGAAAATGTGTTCTGTAACATGTGATGCACCTGCAAAAGCCATGGTAAAATGCATAAAGATGTATTCTGGCTACTATTGCTGTGACCGGTGCACACAAAAAGGCAGGTATGATGGGAGGATGACGTACCCGCAGGTAAAAAACCTGTGTCTCAGAACTAACAAATCCTTCAGGGAATTGGTACAGCCAGAACATCACCATGAAGGAAAAACCTCTCAGTTTTTCATCCTCCTCATTGATATGGTGAAGTCATTCCCAATTGACTATATGCACCTTTGTTGCCTCGGAGTAACCCGGAAGCTCTTGATGATGTGGACTAGGGGAAAGACTGGGGCCAGGTTGTCGTTGGTGCAAGTCAAGGAGGTCACTCAACGACTAAACCGACTAAAGGATTCAATTCCAGACTGCTTCGCTCGGAAATCACGGGGATTGGATGACCTTGACCATTGGAAGGCCACAGAATTCAGACAGTTTCTAATCTATACTGGGAAAGTAGTGCTGAGAAGAATCTTGTCTAAAGAACAGTACACACACTTCATGGCCTTCAGTGTGGCCATGTGCATTTTGGTTTCTCCTCAACTTTCTTCAATCCACAGTGCCTATGCTCATGCTTTACTGTACGTCTTTGTGGAGCAGGGAAGGGTTTTGTATGGAGACACATTTCTCGTGTATAATGTTCACTCCCTCCTACACCTCACTGCTGATGCTGAAGAACATGGCTGCCTTGACAACTGTAATACTTTCACATTTGAGATCTACTTGCAACAACTAAAGAAGATGGTCTGTTCAGGGAGGCGGCCACTTGTGCAAATTTGTAAAAGAGTGCAAGAACGCACAGTTGGAGCTTCTCCCCGCCAACAGGTCATCAAAATGAGACGGCCAAACAATGCCTACATACTTAATGATAGGTCATGTTGTGAGGTAGTGAGCCAAGAAGATGCCTCTGATACTTACCTCTGCAGGGTGTTTCAGCATTTGGAATCTTACACGCTGAGTCCTTGTGACTCAAGACTGAATTGGACTTTCCGCAACACTACGAGGAGCACACAAATGCATCTCATTGCAAAGAGCAGTCTTGTTAAGCAAGCTATTATACTTGAGGAGGACCATGGCACTCGTGTTGTGCTTACCATCTTGCACAGCCTGTAGCAAGCCCCATTTAGCTACAGCCAAGTTTTGCAAACTATCTTGGCTGGTAAATCAAGAGACTGAGCAGTGTGGAATTGGTGTTTAGTTTTTCTGCACAGGGCACACAGCGTTATTATGTTGTACATTTTGTAAAAGAGAACACTGTTGAAGTTGTACCAGAGCAGTGGGTGGAGAAGAGAGATGAGATGAGTTGATCAGTTAAATGGTTTGCTCTTTTCAGGCAAAGAGATGGATAAATAGTTAACTTTAAACAGTGTCTCATATCTTGCAGGTCCTGTGTTGCTACTGGCCAATAAATGCCAGCGCAACAATGATTAAGAGAGGAGACCGGCCTGACAAAATATTATGGGAGAAGTACAGAATTTCCATCTTTTCATCCACTGGTAAAATAATATTTTACTGTATCCATCCACTCCCGTTGATATTGCAATGTATGCTTGGTTGTGTGGCTCTGGAGCAGGTTGCATCAGTTGAACATACTCCTATACGTAAAGATAGTTCCAACGTAGAATATGTTCTAAGTCAGGCGTAAATCTGTCACCACCTGGTTGTAAGTAATAGCTTTTGCTACACCAGGGTGTAAAAACTAAGTGTAATGTGGGGTAGACGTATAGTATAAATCTATAACTAGTTTCCAAGGTACAATGGGGAGAACAAGTATTTGATACACTGGCGATTTTGCAGGTTTTCCTACTTACAAAGCATGCAGAGGTCTGTAATTTTTTATCATAGGTACACTTCAACTGTGAGAGACGGAATCTAAAACAAAAATCCAGAAAATCACATTGTATGATTTTTAAGTAATTAATTTGCATTTTATGGCATGACAGAAGTATTTGATACATCAGAAAAGCAGAACTTAATATTTGGTACAGAAACCTTTGTTTGCAATTACAGAGATCATATGTTTCCTGTAGGTCTTGACCAGGTTTGCACACACTGCAGCAGGGATTTTGGCCCACTCCTCCATACAGACCTTCTCCAGATCCTTCAGGTTTCGGGACTGTCGCTGGGCAATATGGATTTTCAGCTCCCTCCAAAGATTTTCTATTGGGTTCAGGTCTGGAGACTGGCTAGGCCACTCCAGGACCTTGAGATGCTTCTTACGGAGCCACTCCTTAGTTGCCCTGGCTGTGTGTTTCGTGTCGTTGTCATGCTGGAAGGCCCAGCCACGACCCATCTTCAATGCTCTTACTGAGGGAAGGAGGTTGTTGGCCAAGATCTCGCGATACATGGCCCCATCCATCCTCCCCGCAATGCGGTGCAGTCGTCCTGTCCCCTTTGCAGAAAAGCATCCCCAAAGAATGATGTTTCCACCTCCATGTTTCACGGTTGGGATGATGTTCTTGGGGTTGTACTCATCCTTCTTCTTCCTCCAAACACGGCGAGTGGAGTTTAGACCAAAAAGCTCTATTTTTGTCTCATCAGACCACATGACCTTCTCCCATTCCTCCTCTGGATCATCCAGATGGTCATTGGCAAACTTCAGACGGGCCTGGACATGCGCTGGCTTGAGCAGGGGGACCTTGCGTGCGATGCAGGATTTTAATCCATGACGGCGTAGTGTGTTACTAATGGTTTTCTTTGAGACTGTGGTCCCAGCTCTCTTCAGGTCATTGACCAGGTCCTGCCGTGTAGTTATGGGCTGATCCCTCACCTTCCTCATGATCATTGATGCCCCACGAGGTGAGATCTTGCATGGAACCCCAGACTGAGGGTGATTGACCGTCATCTTGAACTTCTTCCATTTTCTAATAATTGCGCCAACAGTTGTTGCCTTCTCACCAAGCTGCTTGCCTATTGTCCTGTAGCCCATCCCAGCCTTGTGCAGGTCTACAATTTTATCCCTGATGTCCTTACACAGCTCTCTGGTCTTAGCCATTGAGGAGAGGTTGGAGTCTGTTTGATTGAGTGTGTGGACAGGTGTCTTTTAAACAGGTAACGAGTTCAAACAGGTGCAGTTAATACAGGTAATGAGTGGAGAACAGGAGGGCTTCTTAAAGAAAAACTAACAGGTCTGTGAGAGCCGGAATTCTTACTGGTTGGTAGGTGATCAAATACTTATGTCATGCAATAAAATGCAAATTAATTACTTAAAAATCATACAATGTGATGTTCTAGATTTTTGTTTTAGATTCCGTCTCTCACAGTTGAAGTGTACCTATGATAAAAATTATAGACCTCTACATGCTTTGTAAGTAGGAAAACCTGCAAAATCGGCAGTGTATCAAATACTTGTTCTCCCCACTGTAAGTGTTTCATGACTAGTAATGTCGCATCTTGTTCAATTTTCTAAATCATTATGTCGGGCGTAGGTAGGCCCAACTTCTCTTATACCTTATTAGCGTCTAACTGGTGCAACCCACTCCTGGTCAGTAGAGTCAGTAACTTCCCCCTCTTAAGTACTATATGTATTTGCTGAAAGTATTACTATGTGAATTACAAATACTCAATACCCTGTTTTGCCAGTGTTAATAGGAAAGTATTTATGACTATGTTTATTGCACGTACAGACAATTACTCTATGGCAGAGCAACGAGCAAAACGGGGGGTTGACACCTCCAATGTTGAATCTGACGAGGAACCAGCGAAGAGGGCGGTGACCAAACCAATCAGATTCCGTGTAGAGCCACCTGGTGAGGATTTCTTAACTACTCTTATTCCATTGTGTGTATTACATGCATCAGGAAGTAGATTAAAGAAATGACTTTTTTTTTTGTATTGTGCTTTGTAAGATGATGATGATGGAACTGAAGCACTCCAGAAAAAGACAAATGAACCCAGACAAGCCCAGCTTACAGTTCCCCAGCTTCCACCAGCCCCTAGTGGTATGATCCTGCATTAGGCTACTAGGTCAATAAATGTATTATCAGCAAGTTGATGGTAAGTTTGACACACATTCAAGTATGTGGGTGAAGAAAAGCTTACAGTTAATGCAAGTACTAGTCTTAAATTGAGACGGCATGAAATCATAACCTAATGACAGTTGATATGACAAGAAATTACCACACCCCATCTGATCTTGACATACTTGATTATTAGTCACATTACCAAAGTGTAACAGTTCTTTATTTTTATATTTTTTTAACTTCAAGAGCCAGTGTCTTTGAAAAGACCCTACAAGGTACATAATGTTTCAAGTCTGATAAACGATAAAGTTCTGTTCCCACCAACTGTATGGGATGAAAATGACAATCTGTTAAGTGTGTACTGTAAATGATAAATGTGGTAACGGTTTGACATCTGTGATATTCTCTGAAGTTGCAGATGCAGAGGACTTGAGGCCATGTGCCACCTCAAGCCAGAGCGACAGTAAGTGTCTGGTAGTAGTTTGTTAGGGTAAACAATTGAATTGTATGAAGTATTATAGCTTTCAAAGCCACTCAATAGAATACAATTACCATCACATTTTTGCATATTAGGTTATTTAAAGGCTTATTACTACTTTGTGCATACTGTTAAAACTTTACAAATACTTGTGGTGCTGTGTATGGGTGAAATCACCCTATTATTTTGGGGTAAAACACAAGTGTAATGCCATGTTTGTAAATATCTGTATGTATTTGCCATCAAACTAAAAGCATTATTTAAAACAAAAAATTATGCTTAGCATTTATTTTTGTTGGGATTCATTAACCTTCCCACTGAGCTCCTGACTGACATCCCTTCACTTTTGGTTCTGTGCCAGTTTCAAAAGCATGCAAAGTATGTCTTCATTTTTTCCCTTTTGTTTTCTCAGTTAGTCCAAGTGGCAGCCAGGAAGAAGCTGGACAAGACAGAGCATCAGAATCAGGTTTCTTTAGCCATCAAGATATTGATCTCGAAATCGAAAAATAACAGCATTATTTTTTACTTATATTTTAGACCAAGAGCTGCCATCCTTGCTTGATGAGCCTGTGGCTTCTGAGATGCCCGCTGGATACATTAAAGGTATATTATGCTAGCCTATATGTTACAAAATGTTGCTTCTCTTGTATTATCAACATCAATTCCAAATTGTATGGCTGTCAGCAGATATATGGTTATCAATACTACTAATATACACTGCTCAAAAAAATAAAGGGAACACTAAAATAACATCCTAGATCTGAATGAATGAAATAATCTTATTAAATACTTTTTTCTTTACATAGTTGAATGTGCTGACAACAAAATCACACAAAAATGATCAATGGAAATCAAATGTATCAACCCATGGAGGTCTGGATTTGGAGTCACCCTCAAAATTAAAGTGGAAAACCACACTACAGGCTGATCCAACTTTGATGTAATGTCCTTAAAACAAGTCAAAATGAGGCTCAGTAGTGTGTGTGGCCTCCACGTGCCTGTATGACCTCCCTACAACGCCTGGGCATGCTCCTGATGAGGTGGCGGATGGTCTCCTGAGGGATCTCCTCCCAGACCTGGACTAAAGCATCCGCCAACTCCTGGACAGTCTGTGGTGCAACGTGGCGTTGGTGGATGGAGCGAGACATGATGTCCCAGATGTGCTCAATTGGATTCAGATCTGGGGAACGGGCAGGCCAGTCCATAGCATCAATGCCTTCCTCTTGCAGGAACTGCTGACACACTCCAGCCACATGAGGTCTAGCATTGTCTTGCATTAGAAGGAATCCAGGGCCAACCGCACCAGCATATGGTCTCACAAGGGGTCTGAGGATCTCATCTCGGTACCTAATGGCAGTCAGGCGAGCACATGGAGGGCTGTGCGGCCCCCCAAAGAAATGCCACCCCACACCATGACTGACCCACCGCCAAACCGGTCATGCTGGAGGATGTTGCAGGCAGCAGAACATTCTCCACGGCATCTCCAGACTCTGTCACGTCTGTCACATGTGCTCAGTGTGAACCTGCTTTCATCTGTGAAGAGCACAGGGCGCCAGTGGCGAATTTGCCAATCTTGGTGTTCTCTGGCAAATGCCAAACGTCCTGCACGGTGTTGGGCTGTAAGCACAACCCCCACCTGTGGACGTCGGGCCCTCATACCACCCTCATGGAGTCTGTTTCTGACCGTTTGAGCAGACACATGCACATTTGTGGCCTGCTGGGGGTCATTTTGCAGGGCTCTGGCAGTGCTCCTCCTGCTCCTCCTTGCACAAAAGCGGAGGTAGCAGTCCTGCTGCTGGGTTGTTGCCCTCCTACGGCCTCCTCCACGTCTCCTGATGTACTGGCCTGTCTCCTGGTAGCGCCTCCATGCTCTGGACACTACGCTGACAGACACAGCAAACCTTCTTGCCACAGCTCGCATTGATGTGCCATCCTGGATGAGCTGCACTACCTGAGCCACTTGTGTGGGTTGTAGACTCCGTCTCATGCTACCACTAGAGTGAAAGCACCGCCAGCATTCAAAAGTGACCAAAACATCAGCCAGGAAGCATAGGAACTGAGAAGTGGTCTGTGGTCACCACCTGCAAAACCAGTCCATTATTGGGGGTGTCTTGCTAATTGCCTATAATTTCCACCTGTTGTCTATTCCATTTGCACAACAGCATGTGACATTTATTGTCAATCAGTGTTGCTTCCTAAGTGGACAGTTTGATTTCACAGAAGTGTGATTGACTTGGAGTTACATTGTGTTGTTTAAGTGTTCCCTTTATTTTTTTGAGCAGTGTATATGAAGGGTGGATATTTTGATCGAGGTATTTCACATGGCCTTGATACATGTCCTGCCTGGTACTCATGGCTTGTATCGTCACGCTGCTTGAAGCTAAACTGTTGAGTCTTTATTATTTTGCAGATCTTCAAGCAGTGGAGATGAGGATAATGGTGAAACTGGAGATGATCCGTACAGAGTTCAAGACTGCTCTCAACCAAGTTATGGAGGCCATAGAGGCCCGGCAGCCAAAGGAGTCGGAATCCTTGGGGCATCTTGAAATGCTGCAAAGCCCTGCAGAAACAAATGAGGAACTGAAGGATATCTGTGAAACACTTAGACTCCCACTATCGAAAGATAATGGTAGGGATGGCCATTTAAAATGTATCTGTTTGTAAAAAATGTGAAATCTACATAAAGTAATTTAACAGCAATTGACAAAAATAAGTTAGCTGTTTATCAAGAGCCCCTTGAATGCGTCCAGATTTGAGAGAAGATTGCAACCTGCAATATTATTGATTCCAAATATCTTAATGTCAACGAAATGCAGTTGTCATAAATGCCATATACCTATTTAGTGTTTGGATTGATTTCCCAATTAACACTTAACTTATCTTAAGGAGAAACGATCAGCCCTCTGCCTGTTTACACAAGTTTTAGCCCATGATTACATGATACACTACAAAAATGATTTCTCATTACTATCAATCAGAACTATATGGCCAGCTGTTTTAGCTGAGGAACACACAAATGAGTGGTAATGTTTTTTTGTTTTTTGTTTTTTTATATCAGATCCGATACCCGACCCTCTGCAGTGGCCTGGACCTGGGCTCAGGAATCAGACGAATGATGAGAACATTTGGAACAGAGGAGCTGTGGACAGGCTACTCCTTGAAGGGCAGGAAGGGGAAGAGGGCCTTTAATGAGCTATCAATCTATGATGCTGTCACAAGTAAGTAAATGCACAAGTTTAGATCGTTATTTATTATTATTTAGTAGATAGTATTATTGGTCAAGTGATGCTAAGTGAAATGTGTATTTATTAACATTTCAAATGAATTAAATCAGTAACAAGGCAGTTACAAACTAAATATGATATCCTACCACCTGTTAAGATCGGAGAGAGAGGACAAAGGAAAGGTGAAGGAGAGAGGTCTCATGGCCAAAACTGCCTATGAGGGACGAGAGGGACAATACCCAACCTCTGTCTCAGCCAGCATAGGTGGAAAAGTAGTGATATGACATGGGATGTACCATTTCAATTCTTTTTCACAACATAGGAGCGTCCCTGAAAGCACACCCCAAGGATACCTACCAAGAGGTAGATGACAAAATAGCAGACGCTCTCAAACATGCACCAGCTCGGCTCAAGAGTAAGAGAAAGGTATGATTTAAAAATAACACTTTATGATTTTTTTTACTTCACTTTAATCCAGTCGGTCAGTATAGGTAAATTATTGTGCTAGTACAAAAGGAATGTAGTAGGGAGTCGACGTTAAACCAGCATTTTGATAATTTGTTTACGAAAAATAATGACCAATTTGTGTTATTGTGACTTCCAGGAGCGGGTCAAGGAAGCGACAGTGGATGAGGATGGAGCAGCAGCACCTGAATAAACATAACATAGTTATTCACTTTTAGCTTTAAGCAGTTTTACAGTTCTCTTAATTACAATGACAGCCTACACCGGCCAAACCCGGACGACGCTGGGCCAATTGTGCGCCGCCCTATGGGACTCCCAATCACGGCCGGTTGTGATACAGCCTGGAATCGAACCAGGGGGTTTGTAGTGACACCTCAAGCACTGAGATGCAGTGCCTTAGACCGCTGCGCCACTCGGGAGCCCAATAATTAGATGTATCCACCAATCCAAAGAAAGGATAGGCGGGAGCTAGACAGCCCTCCATGCCGCTTTGTGGACAACGACTCCCATAGTTATGGCGGAGAGACATGTATCTTGTCAGTATATCCATAATCTTTGGTGACAGTGTTAGGGCATTGCATAGGCACTTTGTTGCAATTTTTGTGGGACTGGAAAAAAATGGCCGGAACTTAAAATAACTTTATTAACTAGTTCCCATGCTTGTAAATTAACAGTGCTGTTCCAGAACATTATAGATCACTTTCGTTTTTGGTTCGGGTTCTGTTCCTCAAATAATTTCGTTATTTCTGGTTCAGTTCCAACCCTTGCTTACCATATAATTACAATCAGCAGAATGGACATGCATGACAGACAAGTGTGATTGAAGAGGAGTCTCTGCGAGTACTGTACCACAGAGTTTTTAAACCTAGAGGTGCAACATCACGAGACTTCCGGCAACGCTTGCAAAACAGACAAAACAGATGAGAGAAATGAAAAAGTATTTCTTAGTTGCTCATTTTCTTGAAATCTATAGCCACATAATGTCTTAAATAGTTACACATGTCATTACTCCAACCTCGTGAAAGTGACAAGCTGACACGTTTTCATATGCAGCCGTGTTTCTATGCTAGCCAAAGTCGCCATGACATCGCCTACAAGTGTGATTCGGGATTTCTATTAGAGAAGCAGTTTTAGCCTATCTTCATATTGTACTGTATTATGTTACATGTGGCACCCCTTATGAGAGTGGAACCAGAGTGGTTCCCTAGCAACAGAGCACAGCAGGATCAGATCAGACCAATGATGTGTATAAACCCTGGATGACTAACAGGGGGCGTTGTATTGAAGCCATCGGGCAGCCATCTTGGCACTACTCAATTGTAAAAAATATTTTGGAAGCTATAGAAATGCATTTATTAATGTCTACTTTCTTTTTTGACACGTTTATTCTATTACAGACACCTTAATGCAATTTGTTTTTACAAAATATATAAAAACATTTTCTACTAATATTACTGTACTTAAATGTAATGTAATTTTGTCCTTGAAATATTTAATTGAAATAATGTAGAACTCCATTCCATCCTAAGTATACTGCTCCTACTAGGGAATGCCAATATGGCCTACCGATGGAGTTCTACATTATTTCAATTAAATATTATCAAAACCTCTCAATAGCCAATACAGCATCATAGCATCATCAATCCAGGGTTTATGTCCATCATTGGATCAGACACACACTGAGAGGAGTCCCCCAACGCCCCCCCCACACACCAGGAATTATAATTACCATGGAAACATGGAGGAAAAACACACACAAAAACCAATCACCTCTCCTCCTTAGCCCTCAACCCCAATGCAAATAGTAGAGTGGGAGTCATACCCCAACTCTCCCTCTGGCCCTGAGGCTCACATAAATAAATACATCCATAAATACATCCAGTAAACTTACTGTACACAAAGGCTTAACAGACTTCAGAGTCCTATTATGGCCTCACATAGCAATCATGCTACATTTTAGTTATAGAAGTAAACAAAGTGTACTTTGAAACATGTTAGATTACAGTAACCAATAGCAAACGTACTACATTTCCGACATAGCAATAAGCAGTATCACTTTATCCTCCTTTATCGTATCAGAGGAACAGTAGCCTGTCTCAGTATTCCCCCTGATATGTCCCAGCATATATGGTGACCAGTCTAGGAAGGAAAACTATTTTACTGTCCCATTATAGTGTCAACGGACAGCCAAAATCCAATAGAAATGTGCAATTCCACAACACAGATACATCCACAATGGGTTAACTCTTTAGCCCAGTCAGCGTTGGAGCGTTGCCCTTTGACCCTGTGAGCTTGTGGAGGTCACTGCGTGTGAAGACGACACCGGTGGAGCAGAGCAGGGCCATATAGGCACTGACACTGTGAGATTGCTGCACTATGGAGCCCAGATGCAGAGCAGGCAGCACCTGGCCAGAGAACAGAACACAATAGAATAACCATTATTGTTGAGGCAAATAACACACACCAGTCTGGTCACTGGTCAAACCTGTAGAGCTTTTGTGCTTACCTGTGACAGCAGGTAGGCACTGTCCAGTATAGCCATGTCTAGACACATCCTTCTCTGAGGCAGTGGTATGGGCTCTCCTTCTCTCTCCAGGGGAAGGGACACGTGGAGGGAAGTGGAGGAGGAGAAGAAAAGGGGGGCCCCGGGGAGAGTGACCCCTTCTGGATAGCTGTTGCCATGGATATGAACAGGGTCAGGTGGAAGGAGGGGCTTGGAGTGGATGTGGTCGTCACTTTCTCCTGGTTGAGAAGGTCTGGATTTGGAACTGGAGAAGAAGACCTGAAAGAGAGAGAGAGACAGAGAGAGAGAGAGGGATGGGAGTAAAAGACAGAGAGATGGAAGAGAGAGAGAGAGATAGCGAGAGGAGGGAGGGATTGGGTTTATCTACTGTGATCACTTCTCTGTCAGAACATGTAGTGTCTCACCTGTCTGTCAGAGTGGTACAGACACAGCAGGGTGTAGGGCAGGACCTGCAGCACACAGAAGGTATATCCAGTAGCTGCGGCCATGACAGTGACCATCACTACACTCTTTGAGAAGCTCATCACAGCTGTAGCTAACGCTAGCAGGACCACAGTTCTAATGTACACAGCCCAGGTGCCTAGCAACACTATCCAGCGCTCCATCAGGATGGAGCAGACCACTGAGGTCAGGCACTGCAGGAATAGAATCACACTCGCCATGTGCACACCTGGGGAGATATGGGGGAAAGTAGGTGTATGGGTGCATTGACAATCTTTTATGAAAATGTTACAGGGGTTTAAGATAAGGAGTGGAAAGGAAAAAAGGAGTAGACAAATTCGCTGCAAAACGTTGCAGTAAATGAAAAGATAAGAATCAAGTAAATGTCTGTCCATCCTACCTTCATCGTATCGTAGTCTCTCCTATGTTCCAGGTGTAGCGTTGGGTATTCCCTGGTACAGCCCCACTCCCATAAAGTCTGTGTAGAATAGCATGAAGCTCATCAGAGCCATCCAGCTGAACAGTTCCGCTACAAACAGCCTGCGTATGACTGCCGGCACGTGCATACACACACTGTACATGCGCGGCAGTGCCGACACACACAGCGACAAACTCCGCCCCACCGCCAGCCGCACACACTTGGGCCGCGGCGGCAAGGGGTGTGCACAGTATCGGCTCAGGGCGGAGCTAATGCTAGCATCCTTCCTGGTTGTCTCTCCCCAGCCGGTGCATCTTTCCTCTGAGATGAAGACTGTGCTGAGGAGGCAGGTGAGGAAGATGAGTGTGAGCAGGGCATAGATGAAGGCCTCCTGGCCGCCCACGTAGGCTGCTGTGGGGGCATGGCTCCAGTCCAGGGCTGGGAGCAGGTACCTAGGATGAGACAGAGAGGGATCACATAGGTGGACTCTGGTCTCTTGTATGATATGATCTCTGTCCAATCCACTATGGAGAGAGGTACCCTGCCCCAGTAAGCACCTGAGGCTGATCTTTAAGGAATAGACTGAGAGAGAGAGAGAGAGAGAGAGAGAGAGAGAGAGAGGTCCCTTACCCCAGGCATCCTCCCAGACAGAGAAGGCTCTTCTGCTCTCCTCCTCTCCTGGGAACTGGTCTGAGATCAGAGCTTCCTGCGGCGTGAAACAGTCCTGTGGAGCACAACAGTCATTTAGCTGCTAGAAACACCACACACACACACACACATGCACACATACACACACAGTAAGGAGCACAAAAGCCAGTTTGAATTCAAATAAAGAATGCAAATATAGTCAGAAACATCTACATCACAATGTTATCCAAGCAAAATGCAGGTATGCAGGTAAACTACAGCAATTACAAGCATATGAACTACTTCACTTCAACTCAATCAGATACAGCACTAGTGTATTTATACTATTTAATAATATATTTTCTGCTCCACCTGCCCAGAGAACTCCAGCAGACAGGCTGACCCCGCCAGCAGGACCCTCTCCAGCCAGTGGGGCTGCTGCGGGTAGAGCAAGGCAGCTAGGTGAGAGAACTGGGGCATCACCTGCAGGCCCAGCAGAAAGAGAGAGAGAGAGAAAGAGAAGGGGAAGGGAGAGAAGGAGATCTACTTCAGAGCTGGAGAACAAATGATTTATTCCAACCATGGTCATACAGTGTTCACACTACGGTCATTCAAGAATGACAATATGGTCATAGAGTGTTGACTTACCCAGCACCATGGTCATGTAGCGTTCCTCCATGCCGGCCTGCAGCAGTAGAGGGGGGATATAGAAGGTCCCTGCAGCCATACACACCTCCAGACCACTGGTCAAAGCATTCAACAGCAACAGCTGATACACACGGCCCTGCATGACTCTGTCTATGCCTCTTTATCGATCTATCTCGCTCTGGTCTCTCCGCTACTTTCTGTCTATCTATCTCCCACACAGTTTCTGAGACAACTGTGATACAGGGGTTTATAGTGACTGTGTGGACAGGACAGAATGCTCTTCTCTATCCATGTGATCTAAGGGTCTAGGCTTACAGGGGGTAGTCCTTGGGTGACCTGCATATGTAAATGAGTAGGTGGGGCAGAGTGAAAGGAGGCAGGGTTCTGGCTGGTGTTTGTGTCCCATGCTGCTGTCCGGAGGTTCCAGTGTCGCTTTATTCAAGATAGTGGATAACAGAAAAGATAGCTGACTGGACAGCTTCCCCATGTATAGTGTTGTCTGTGCTCACATTGCTCTTCTGTCAGACAGAGGTAGTGGGAGAGTTTTATTTCTAGCTCCGTCTATTTCTCTCTGTCCTATGGAGGTAGTAGAGAAGGGATCAGTGGAGATAAAAGGTTCCAGTCTTGAGTCATGCCTGGTGAGTGTGGGTGTAATTAACTCAACTCTGCCCATCAACAGAGAAATCCACACATGGAAACATGGGCCCTGAGAGAAGTGAGGGAGAACAGACTAACATGAATAGAGCCACAACATGATAAAGGATCAAATAAGTCAAACAGTCATTTATAAATGTGTTTCCCTACTGGTGGGTCTAGACTCGGGACTCATTGGTGGGCTTTAGATGGGTCACAATGCTGAAACTTTAGTAACCACTGGAATAAACTGGTTATAAACAGGTGTGGACTTAAGCTACAGCTTAACACTTATGACAGAGAAGAGGGGGGAGAGCAGGGTTCCATTTTCCTAGCTGCCTCATCCTGTAACTCGCAGGGAAAACAGGATGGAAAGCCGGTTGATTAAGATTCCAAGATGTGGTATAATAAGACACTTCAGGTGAGCTGGAATATACTGTACCTTCCCAGGAAGGGAATCGATGAAATCACTGTGTACATACACCCTGCGAGTTTTGTATACCTTCAGTCATCCGACATTTAACTTACAACACATTGTCCAGACAGAAATGTCTGCTTTACAGAACTGAGGGACAGGATTTACAGTTGATCCAAAGTGGGAGTGTTGTGTGTGTGTGTGTGTGTGTGTGTGTGTGTGTGTGTGTCAGTGTGTGTGTGATACTTCTGTGGATCAGCTATCAGTCATTTGTCTCTGTAATCAGTAGATTACTGTCACGGTTTCGGCCGAGGCTGCTCCTTCTCCTTGTTCGGGCAGGCTTCGGCGGTCGTCGTCCCCGGAGTACTAGCTGCCACCGTTCTATGTTTCTATGTTTGATTAGTTTTGTCTGATTGTTACACCTGTTCATTGTTAAGTGTTCATTATGCGTCCTATTTAGTTCTCTTGTGTTTGGTCAGGTGTTGTGTGTAATTGTTCGATGTCACGTGTAGTAGTTGGTTCGCTGTTCTGTGCTCTCTGTATTTCGTTTTGTTTGAGAGAGTCCTGCACGTTGTGCGCATTTACTTTGGTTCTCACCAGTGTGCGTATATTTCGCCTGTGGCCTGTTGCCGTGTTTGGCTTGTATTTTCGGACTTCACTAAAGACATCTGTCACGATCGTCGTAAGGAATAGACCAAGGCGCAGCGTGATGAACGAACATTGTTAAACTTTATTATCGTTAGTGATAATAGACCACAATAACCAAAACAAGAAACGACTCGTGAAGTCCACGGTAACAATGACCAAAACGGAACAAAAACCCACAAACACAAAGGGAAAACAGACAGTTTAAATATGGCTCCCAATCAGAGACAACCAACGACAGCTGACACTCGTTGCCTCTGATTGGGAGTCACTCTAGCCAACATAGAAATAAACACAACAGAAATGAACACACCCTGGCTCAACATATAGAGTCCCAGAGCCAGGGTGTGACAGTACCCCCCCCCTAAAGGCGCGGACTGCGACCGCGCCTCAACTTGAACAAAACAGGGGAGGGCTGGGTGGGCATACCTCCTCGGCGGCGGTTCTGGCTCCGGCCTTGCCACCCACCCTCCAATAAACCCCCCATAGCGCCCCTGGTCCAGTCTGGCCCCGCTGGCTGGAGCTGAACTGGACTTAGCAGGAGCGGTTAGCTTCAGCTCCATAGTGGAGCAGTTGACCGGTACCTTCCCAGGCACCGGTGGCCCAGGCACGGGTTGTGCTGGACTGACGACGCGCACCCCGGGCTTAGTGCGTGGAGGAGGAACGGGCCTTACCAGGCTGACGACTCGCACCCCTGGCTTGGTGCGAGGAGGAGGAACGGGCCTTACCAGGCTGACGTCTCGCACCCCTGGCTTGGTGCGAGGAGGAGGAACGGGCCTTACCAGGCTGACGTCTCGCACCCCTGGCTTAGTGCGAGTGGCAGGAACAGGCCGGGCCGGGCTGGCGACGCGCACCGTAGACTTGGTGCGAGTGGCAGGAACAGGCCGGGCCGGGCTGGCGACGCGCACCGTATACTTGGTGCGAGTGGCAGGAACAGGCCGGGCCGGGCTGGCGACGCGCACCGTAGACTTGGTGCGAGTGGCAGGAACAGGCCGGGCCGGGCTGGCGACGCGCACCGTAGACTTGGTGCGTGGAGCAGGGACAGGCCGGGCCGGGCTGGCGATGCGCACCGTAGACTTGGTGCGAGTGGCAGGAACAGGCCGGGCCGGGCTGGCGACGCGCACCGTATACTTGGTGCGAGTGGCAGGAACAGGCCGGGCCGGGCTGGCGACGCGCACCGTAGACTTGGTGCGAGTAGCAGGAACAGGCCGGGCCGGGCTGGCGACGCGCACCGTAGACTTGGTGCGTGGAGCAGGGACAGGCCGGGCCGGGCTGGCGACGCGCACCGTAGACTTGGTGCGAGTGGCAGGAACAGGCCGGGCCGGGCTGGCGACGCGCACCGTATACTTGGTGCGAGTGGCAGGAACAGGCCGGGCCGGGCCGGGCTGGCGACGCGCACCGTAGACTTGGTGCGAGTGGCAGGAACAGGCCGGGCCGGGCTGGCGACGCGCACCGTAGACTTGGTGCGTGGAGCAGGGACAGGCCAGACCGGGCTGGTGACGCGCACCGTAGACTTGGTGCGTGGAGCAGGGACAGGCCGGACTGGGCTGGCAACGCACCCCGTAGGCTTGGTGCGTGGAGCAGGGACAGGCCGAACCGGGCTGTGGAGACGGATAGGAGACCTGGAGTGAAGAGCGGCCACAACCCGTCCTGGCTGAATGCCTACCCTCACACACTCTGTGTGAGGCATCCGCACAGGACGTACAGGGCGGTGTACCCGTAACCTGGTGGCCTTCTGAATCCGCCCCTTTTCTGCCTCCGTCAGCCCCGTCGTCCATGCCGTGTGCCCCCCCCCTAAAAAAATTCTGGGGTTGCCTCTCGCCTGTCCGACGTTGACACTGCTGACGCCGCTGCTCCTCTTTCGCCAGGGCCTCTCCCGGCGCTTCCTCCCATGTCCAGTCCAAGTTCTGCCCCGGGACACGCTGCTTGGTCCTTACTTGGTGGGTTTTTCTGTCACGATCGTCGTAAGGAATAGACCAAGGCGCAGCGTGATGAACGAACATGGTTAAACTTTATTATCGTTAGTGATAATAGACCACAATAACCAAAACAAGAAACGACTCGTGAAGTCCACGGTAACAATGACCAAAACGGAACAAAAACCCACAAACACAAAGGGAAAACAGACAGTTTAAATATGTCTCCCAATCAGAGACAACCAACGACAGCTGACACTCGTTGCCTCTGATTGGGAGTCACTCTAGCCAACATAGAAATAAACACAACAGAAATGAACACATACCCTGGCTCAACATATAGAGTCCCAGAGCCAGGGTGTGACAACATCTGTTTCGAATCTCTGTGTGTCCTGCGTGTGATTCCACGTTACCTCTACACTCAACCCTGACAATTACATTTCACTTCCTTATGTTAGAAAATACATTTTACCAAGAGAAATATGATTCTTTATGTTCTGAATCATTCAGTGTGGCCTTTCTCTAACATATCATTAACATTATATCCAAAAAGTCGGATTTCGATAATAAGCACCGAGCTCTGTTGACAGTGAGGTGCTGCTTTTTCGCAGTAACGTTTGAGGGTTTTACATGTTGTGGTGGTCGTCTGCAAAGTTGTTTCAGAGGGTCGCAAAAAAGCTAAATCAGCATGACACGAGCTGAATTAAATGTAAAAGGCTTTGAAAATAAAAAGCTTGCGGTATGCTCAGTGGTCCGTTGACATTTCACAGAGATAAGCTTGTTTTTGTGAGAAATCCTGCATTGTGTACACTGAGGTGTGTCCTCCTCTTTCAGTCTGGCTGCCAGCTCACCTCACACACAACGATCAAACCCTGACACAATACTTTGATACCTATGGGCGGCGCACAATTGGCCCAGCGTCGTCCAGGGTAGGGGAGGGAATGGCCGGCAGGGATGTAGCTCAGTTGATAGAGCATGGCGTTTGCAACGCCAGGGTTGTGGGTTCGTTTCCCACGGGGGGCCAGTATAAAAAAATATGTATTCACTAACTGTAAGTCGCTCTGGATAAGAGCGTCTGCTAAATGACTAAAATGTAATGTAAATGTAGTATTCCTAAATATGTGTACTGTGCCTAGATAAAGCTGTCTGACTTGTATGTGGAACAAGAAACAGACTTCTAAAGACCTCACGTCACAATTAAGGCAACTTGACAAATTAGATGAGGAATATACATAGTCCTGTCAACTATAATATGTTCTTGTTAGTGACATTGAGAAAGAGTCAGGAACATCTTAGCAGATCTCAGAAAGCAGCTCTCTGCTTGAAATGAAGATGTAATATATATATATAATAAGATTTCACAGTAAGCTCTCTGTGTCTATCATTTCATTATTATATACAGGTAAATCAATTATTTATTACAAAACATCTTGACATTTCTAATTACCACACTTAAATGATTAAATGAATAAAGACATTTTATAGCCTACACTTCTTCAATTCTGTTAAGTATGGCCTAATCCATCACTGAAT